GTGAAAATTGGAGATTTTGTCTAAAATTATAAAGGGCCATGACTGCTATGAAATTGAGTCCAGAGAGAAACCTGGAAGAGTGAGGGCGATGGAGGCATTGTGGTACTGAAAGCTGTGTGGTTTGGGCGGCATTTGCCTTGGCCCTGGGTCAGGTGCGCCGCCGGCTGAGGCCCTGCCCGGGGTGGGACCCGCCTTCCACTCTGCGGGCAGCTCTGTGCTGAGGTGGGAACGCCAGGGCTCTCGGCTTTCTCTGGCCATCATTTTGGTTAGTTTTTCCCCACCTCATCCCTGCACAGCACTCAGAAGCAGACCAGGTTCAGCGAGGTCATGACTTTTCCAAGGTCATTCCCCGAGTCGTTGCAGAGACGGGAAGAGTGTCTGAACTTCAGACTGTAAGCAAGGGGTGCTTCTCCCACGGAAAGTGATTTCAAGGTTATAGGGAGGGTTATAGGAGGGCGAGAGAGTTTAGGAGAGGTATCTCGAAAGCCATACCAGGTAGTTGCAGCAATCAGTTTTGTATGAATATCCTCTAAGGTAAAACCCTTAATTTGAGTGTGTTTCCTTGGATCACTCCAAAATCTGCTTTGCTTTTGTTTTTTTTCTTTTCCTGCTGTCAAACCGTAGATCCTTTTATTTCATGTCTAGACTATTCTAATTGTTTGGCCATGACTTCATAACCAGTTTCTCTTGCTTCATTCCAAAAGCAGTGATTTTTTTTTTTTTTAGAAGTGTTGCTCTCCTGTGTCGGTCCTATATTCCTAAACCTTTACACCTTGGCCTCTAAATCTTTGCCCCTTGAAGAAAATCAGTGTGTCTCACCCTGGGATTTAAGTGTCTTTGTGATGTGATTTCAACCTAAATTTAAAGTGATTCTCTTCACATACTATATGCAGTGCTGTGAACAGATGAACTGTTGGTTTCCCTTCACGTCTGGCACTTTCTTCTGATAGTTATTTCACTCCATGCTCCTTGATGATTAGCACTCAGAATCCTCACCACCCTTCAAGATCCTCCAAATATGAAAATTTGTTAGTGTAGCCTTTACTCCTAATGCAACTTGTTGTTTTTGTTTTGCTTGAAGTAAGTTTGTATCACTCTGTGGCCCTGGCCACACAATGTCTCTCAAGGTAAATATTTTGTGTAACTGTCTTATCTCCTTTTCTGGGCCGAAACGTCTTTAAGATAAGGACCATGTTTTAGTCCTGTTTCCAGCTCTCACATGACCCATCACAATGATTTCCATATATCAGACTCAATAAATACACACTGAAGAATTTGTTACCTTGGGCCACGTGGTTGTCGGAGTGGCCGCGCTGTTTGAGATGGGCGATGACTGAAGAACACGCCCGCCCATCACCAGTTCTCGCGGCGACTGCGCATATTATTCCAATCCCCGTTTAGATGTTACCCTCAGGGAGTTTCTGTGGGTTCTTCTAGACATAGCTCCACACTTTGTCCTATGTGCTTGTGGGTGTCTTGGTCAAACACCTTTGAGTGTGTACTTGGATTGCGTTGTAATTTGGGTACAAATCTGAGTCCCCTCCTCGTACTGTGAGCCCCTGGGTAGAAAGAACTACATCATGGTTCTCAGTGTCCCCTTACGCCCTGTCCGGATCATGGGGGCCCCCAGCGTGCGTGTTTCCTCTGTCTGTGCGTGTGTGCGGCTCCCGGCCCCTCCGTAACAGTCACCTGCTACCAGCCGTGGACTTCAGCCTGCTCAGCTAGTCTCTTTCTCCCACAGACTTTTGATTTCTGTGGATGTATCCCTAAGTGACTTTTGTTTTGTATAACAAAGGATGGACAGTATCAAAAGGAAATAAAGTTTCACTTCCTATCCCTTTACTTAAAATAATCTCGTTTCAGAAAGTAGAACATCCTTTGGATTTATATTCATGAAGCAAGGACATTTTTAAACTTTAGAGGACATACTTAACCTTTCAAGCACTTACTGAGTCCTTGCTGTGTGTGGAACATTTATGTTAGATGTCGAAGATAAAAGTTGTTCTAAGTTATGGTCTCCGGGTGGCTGAGGGGGAAGGAAGACGTTTTGAAGGGAGTGATACCAAGAGGCACAGAGTAATGATCTGTCTGTTAATTGTCTTGTCCTAGGACTTTTATTTATCCTGGTGCTTTTGCAGTTCGCTTTGCATTCTACTTTGTAAAGCCCTCTTACTACCCTCTTTGGCCTTACGCAGCCCCTTTTTGCTGGTCTCCAGGATGTGTAACTCAAACCTCTTCTAGCTGAAAGAGTTTGAGAAAGCGTCGAGGTAGCTCAGGGAACGTGCACGGGTTTTTCGGCCACAGCTGTCCTTTTGACCCATTGATTTGGCCAGTGTGCACATCCCTGGGTTGTTTCAGCTTCTTGGGGACACGAGTTGGGGATCTTGCCTATTAATTACCATGTTGGTACCTCTACTACAGTCTTGAGAGATTTCGTCTAACTAGGCCTTAAAACTACGTGATATTCCCAGCTGTTGTCCATCCGCATTCCCTCCCCCAAATGACTCACATGTCTTCCAGTTAACAAAGTTTAAAATTTTTTTGTGTGGCTAATAAATGAATTAGTTACAGTTACCATGGAGAAGAATGTGTGCCTGCTGTCTGCCCCTCATTTCTTAGTAAGGATGCATTGAGGACTGACTCCGTATCATGCCTCTGCTAAGGCATCCGGACCCCGTCGCGGTCCCACTGTTATAGTCTGGTGCCAAGGACAGGTACAGACGCATACAGCGGTGAGTGCCGTGACAGAGGAAGGCACAGAGTGGCAGGGAGAGGATCATGAAGGGGAGACCGGACCTCACGGAACTCGCCTCTCTCTCCGGGCGGGAGCAGGAAAATCACCGGAAAATGAGAAGGCTGTTCTGAGCTTTGAGGATGAGTGGTTCTGAGCCAGTGGACGAAGAAGGCAGAGCAGACGTTATTCCAGGCAGTGGGCGCTGTATGGGCAAAGAGACAAAGGCTTTAATAAGACATATTCAGGGAATTGCATGTGGTCGAAAGCCGGCCTGGCGTAGGATCCGGGCAGGGGACAGTGAAGGGTGAGGTTACAGGTGCGATCGGAGGCCAGATCGTGAGTGGCGTATGGTAAGGTCAGAAGGCACCTCCAGAGGCAGGAGTGGGAAAGTTCTGTAAGCTCCACCTCACGGTGTCACCAGAATCCAAGCAGTCCTTGCCATCTTCCCTGCCATCGCTGTCATTCTAGCTGTCACAGGCTCTTAATGGAGCTTGTGAGTTAGGAGGGCTCACTGGTCTTGACCCTCTTTAGTCTGTTCTGAACATAGCAGCCAGTGCTTAGGACATAAGCAATCACGTTACTCTTCCATTTAAAACCCTTCAGCGGCTTCCCACATACTCAGGGTACGAGCCCAAGTTCTTATGGTTCCCATAGTGCTTATTACTACTTAACACACTGTAGTTTCCTTCTTTATGTTGTTTGTTGCTGTCTCCTGTGGTGGAATGGAAACTCCATGAGTGCGGGAATCTTTGTTTTACTCTGAAGTATGTCATCAGCACCTGGGACTCTGCCTGTTAATACGTTTGCAGTCAGTATTTGTTGAAAGAATGAATGACCGAGCCCCCAGATACACCAGGGCAATTCCTGCATTGGTCACTGTTTAGTGAGTTTATTTCAGCCATCCCCACCTTTGCCCTCTTTCCCCTCCTCACTCCACTGCCCATTTAAACCATTGAGCCTTCAGACCGCTTACGCTGACATGAACAGGTTTTATGAATATAAATTAGCCTCTTTGTCTCCCCAGGAGATTTCATTCTTAGTCAGACTCGGACGAAGTAAATCTCTGCTCTTCCTTCTTGTGGCAGCTGCCCTTGGCTGTGGTGAGTCCGTGAGAACAGGATGGACCCGCGCGTGTGAGCCGGGGGTGGAATCTTGGCATTTCAGTGAGAGGAGAGCAGTGTTCGGACTGTAACAGGATCGGACCCAAAACAGCCCCTGGGTTCCTAGTGTAAAATCCCATTCTCATCTGTTAAAGCCAATGTCTCCATTCCCCCAGATTGGTCATATTCTGGCTCTTGGTGCTGCTGCTTTCATGCTGTGAAAATGAACTGCTCTGTTTTCTCAGGCTCCATGGGGGTATTAAGCATTTGGTTTCTTCACAAATAGAGCAGAGAAATGGAACCATAGAATAACACTGTGGACACATTTAACAATATTTATTTAGTGAGTAAAAGAGTTAGATCTTCTGTTACATTGTCTGCTCTCCCAGTCGGTACAGGTTATTGTGACCATTGGGCAATGTCTATGCAACGTATCCTGGTTAAGGGAATATTAACTACCTTCATGATAGTGTTTAGTAGACTATAAAGTTATTTTCATACACTATGACAGGTGAGAAATTCTTCTACATAGCTTCTCAAGGTTGTGTTCAGATCTTTAGTCTGCGTGTGCTGAATGCTGTCTGGGTGGACAGCATGCCGCAGCTGAACAGTCAAGCAGAGAAAGCACAGTGCCTGCTTTCAAGGTTACAACAACAACAAATACCACTGTTACACAACGACAGCAAACACTATTGCTGCTGTCACCATTTACTGGGCTCCTACTGTGTAACAACCACTGCAATATGCTTTGCCTCTGTTAGTCATTGAATGGGCCCAATAACTCTTCAAGGTAGATGTGTATCTCCATTGCTGATTATAAAATCGGATACAGAGAAGGTAAGTAACAATAAACAAAGAGTAACAAATAAGAAGGTAAGTAACAATAAACAAGGAGTAACAAATAAGAAGGTAAGTAACAACAAACAAACAAGCTGCGACAAATCGGGCTAGAAGAGGTGTCACGGGGCCACTTGGTGTCCAATTGCTAGGGCGAATAATATGAGGACAATCAAGTCCCCTCACGCAAGGAGCTTCCCTTCTAGTAAATATTTTTCATCAAACAAAGTGAGTTGGTTTCTTTTACTAATCTTATTTCCCGTCTGGAACTGTGACTTGATAGCAGTTGGAGTATTTCCTTCCCATGGTTTTGTCCCCTCTTTCTACAGAAAGGGGCTGGCTATCACCTGGATCTCTTTTGGGTGGCCATCCTCATGGTGGTGTGCTCCTTCATGGCTCTCCCCTGGTATGTGGCTGCTACTGTCATCTCCATCGCTCACATCGACAGTTTGAAGATGGAGACGGAGACTTCTGCACCTGGAGAGCAGCCAAAGTTTCTCGGGGTGAGGTATGTTAAGTCAGGAAACAATGGCTCTGCGGAGCACAGCGCCCACGTCCACGCGTCAGTCATAAGGAACCAGGCAGAGACGGAGAAGAAAGGGCCGGGGATGATTAACTTACTCCTGTACTTGCTTTTCTTGAAACGACTAAATTTGTCATCAGGAAGGGAGTCTTCAGTAATTTTTTGAGTTCACTTCTTACGATAAATGAATTTTCTTTGATTCGTGAAAGGCTAAGTGATACAATGTAAAAATGCAATCAGGTCACTCACTTTCTTCAACCCGCGGGTCCTTTTGGCGCTGTGGGACTTACTCTATCACATAATATGTAAAGGCCAAACCCTTTAATCTTTCAGCTCCTTTGAGACTCCCTAAAACTGTTGAGCCTGCTTGTGATTTTTAAGATTCTGTGAAGGGAAAAGAATTATTATTTCCAGCTCATTTTCTGTCCCCATAAGCATTGAGAAACTTTGACCTCCAGCTGTTACGTTTGAGTGGCCATGAAGGTCTATACAGGACCTTTATACACTGTTGTGTACTTTTTACAGCAAACCCTGCCCCTGGGTGCTGGGGCGAGGAGCTCACATGACAGAGCCGTGGGTTCCCACGCCTCAACACTGGGCGATTCTTTCTTGGGGGCCGGGGGAGGGGGTGTTGTATGGGAATCATATTTGTTAGAAAGTACTTTTGTTGTCGATTTGGAAATTAGACTGATGAGATTTAATTGCACTTATGAAATTTCCCTGAGCTGTTTATTAATTAGAATGTGGGACAATGTAATATCTGTCTCCTGTGAAAGAAGGTGTAATCACACAACAGTTCAAGTTGTTTAAAAAATAAGGGCTTCAAAGAGGCCAGTAATTGATGGACCAAGAGCAAATGATTTTTTTCTTTCTTGATTCTAAAAAGAGCAAAGGATTTAGCAGAATCAGTTTTCTCTTGATGAATTCAAATCACCTATTGCAATAGTTTTTAGAGAATTTTATATTTATGTTGAGCTTATATGCTGTCCTTGAGGTATTAATTACATATGATATCAACACCTTTGCTGTTTTAGCCAAACATTGGTTCGGTCAATGGATATTCTTTTTTGCAGGTGCAAAAACAAGAGGTAGATTGGCAATCTTTTGATTTCGTTTCAGGGAACAAAGAGTCACTGGAACGCTTGTGTTTATTCTGACTGGCCTGTCAGTCTTTATGGCTCCCATCTTGAAGGTAAATATGTGAAACATTTCCTCCTCCTCGAATGCTGACAGATAACTGGGTATGTGAAGAGTGGAATTTCTTATGAAATGTCTGCAGGACTCTCCTTAGTTCTGTAATGCACAAAGCAGTGGTCAGACAGAATGAGACTTTAAAAACTTACCTTGAGTTTCTTCTCACTCCTTTACTCCTGTTATTATTATTATCATTGCAATTATTTGGTTGAACCATATTAAATAACCAATATTCAAACTTTTTTTTTTTTTTTAAATTTTATTGATTTCAGAGAGAGGAAGGCAGAGGGAGAGAGATAGAAACTTCAGTGCTGAGAGTCATTGACCGGCTGCCTCCTGCACACCCCCATCTGGGGATCGAGCCCGCAACCTGGGCATGTGCCCTGACCGGGAATCTAACCTCGATCTCCTGGATCCTAGGTCGACGCTTAACCGCTAAGCCATGCCGGCCAGGCAATATTCAAACTTTTGACCTGTGAAAATGGCAATTTCATACAGTTAAATCCCACTGATTTCCCTTCACCCCACATATTTTATTCCCCTTGTTTCCTTACGTCATTTCTTCCCATCACTTTCTATTTACTCATCTCTGACTGCTGCCCTCCCCACACAGACTCCCGGATAACATGACAGACTTAGGACAATCATTTTGCAGCTTTGCTCCTGTTCTTAATTATTAATGACTATCTCTGTTTCCTTTGAAAGAGAAGGCCCAATATTCACAAAGGGTGAATAGAGTAAAATTACTGATTTATGATTAGAAAACTTAGAATTGAGCTTTTTTCTCCCCCCAAACTATAAGAGAAAGTTTACTTTTTATTTTAAATGTATCTTTATTGATTTCAGAGAGAGGAAAGGAGAAGGAGAGAGAGAGATAGAAACATCAATGATGAGAGAGTCATTGATCGAGCCCACAACCCGGGCCTGTGCCCTGACTGGGAATCGAACCCTGATCGCCTAAATCCTAGGTCGATGCTCAACCCGAGCCACGCCCGGCCGGGCGAGAAAGTCTATTTAGAAAGTTACAGAGGTAGTAGAAGTGGGCCAGCTGGGCTGCATAGGCCCCGGGAACAAAGTTATAGAAGCAAAGGAAGGGCCCTTGGAGCGCAGGAGAGGGAAAGGCAAAGGTTACATGCCAGAGGAAAAGGGGACGGGAAGGGCATGGGCATCCTCCCAAGAGCGTGCCTGGAGCTGATCTCTTTAGAGTAGCTTATTGATTTTTAGAGAGAAGAAGGGAGAGGGAGACAGGGAAACATCGATGTGAGAGTGCAGCCTTGATGGGCTGCCTCTTGCCACGGACTGAGTCCACAACCCGGGCATGTGCCCTGACGAGGAATTGAACCCGCGACCTGTGGGTGCAAGGGATAACACCCAACCAACTGAGCCACACTGGCCAGGGCTAGAATGGAACTTTTGAAGAAGAAACATGATCTGGTAGATTATTTAGGAAGTTAGGAGTCAATATATAGGTTTGATTGATGGGGTGAATGTCTGCCTAAATGGGTAAATATAAACTATATGTGAAAGTCTACTTAGTACAAGTACACAGTGGAACACGACGCAGCCATGAGAAAGGATGAATGACTGCCATTTGCAGCAACATGGATGGACCTTGAGAACATTATGCTGAGTGGAATGAGTCAGTCTGAAAAAGCCAAGAACCATGTGATCTCACTCGTAGGTGGGATATGAAGCTGAAACTCGTGGACACAGCAGTGTGGTGGTTGCCAGAGGGAGGGGAGTGGGGCGTGAAAAGGATCTTAAAAAAAATTTCTTCCTATTAAAAAACAAAATAAAACAGTAATAGGACTAAAACAGGTTAAGATTAGTACATACTTGTCATGAAAATTCCCATTTTCTCTTGTGACACAGCATTTTTTCCTGTTACCTAAACAATACTAGCCGATTATTGATAATTTGTATCTTCTGCTTTGAACCACATTGCAAAGCACCAAAGTCACCTGTAAACTTAACAGCTGTAAACAATGACTGTTAACAATATCCTTCCAAATTTTTTTTCTGACAATTTTTGTTTACTTTTAAACAATTCTAATTTGTAAGGTTTTTAAAATGCTTATTTAATGACACAAATAATGGAGCTGTACAGTCTGTGAAGGATTCATACAATGCAGGGCAGCTGGTGAGGGGCAGCGGCCTTCCAGTCCTCTCAGGTCAGAACACTGACATGTCCGTTTCCAATCACATGAACTTGGGACAGGGGAATTATGATGCCTTAGCACAGAGGTAAGACTGACTTTGCTTTTGGGATACTTAGATTGGTGCAGGCATTATGCACAAAATGCCTGGTAAACAGTTAAACGATTTAAATATTCATCTTTCGTCCTTGGTTTCCATGATGTCAGTTGGCTGGTTCAGTTCCTTTTTGAAAGGCTGCAGTCATGAAGGAATATGCATCTCATGTAGCACATGGAGCTGTAAAGTTAAAAATAACCTTAAAGAAGTCATTTCTGGTTATAGAGAGAAGACCTTAAAAGGTACAGATCTTATGTTCTACAGCAGCGACTCTCAACCTTTTTTACCTTGTGGCGCACAGAAACTACTAAAATTCTGTGGGACACCAAAAAATGTGTTAATTTTTTGCCAAACTGACAAAAAAAAAAAAAAAAGAAAGTATAATTTTGTTTCACACCAGATGGCTATTGTTGTGTTTGGCTATTGTCATTTTTTTGTTTGACAGTCTAAGGGAAAAGAGGTCAGTGTCCTTGACTACATAATCAGGTATTGCATGTTTTAAAAATTCTTGTGGAACAGCCCCAGCCGGGTGGCTCAGTTGGTTGAATGTTGTCCCCTACTAAAAGGGTTGCGGGTTCAATTCCCAGTCAGGCCACGTGGCGGGCGGGGTTGGGGAGTGACAACCAATGGACGCCTCTCTCTCTCAAATAAATTAAAAAAATTCTTGCTGCACTCTCTGCAGCACGCAGGTTGAAAATCCCAGTTCTGCAGGGACAGCGGGAAATCTGTCGTTGCTTTTCCCAGCGCACAGCAAGCTGCTGGGTAGGGCTGAAGCTGTCGTGTTTCATGGCATCGAGTCCACTGCCAGAGTGCCTCATGTTCTCCCGTTGTCCCAGGCACACCAGCCGTCAGCTGGGGGGAAATCTAGTGACCGCTTTTTGCCGCGTAGCCAGCGGGACCGCTTGTAGAGAGGTCATTGCGGCAGGTCTGACCCGTGCGTGGGAAGCTGTCCCGGGACGAACCTGCTCCTGGGCCCCTGAGGTGGGCTCGCTTGACGCACTGCAGTGTTTCCTTATGGGGCCTCCTGTGCTTGGCCCCTGCTAGACAGGGTAATACACAGAGATCTTTCCAGCAGTTCACACGCGTTTACCCAATTTTTTTCTTTTTCTTTTCTTTACTTTTATTAACAAAGTATAAAATCCTAATGCAAAAAGTCAGATATGTTTAAAAGTTGTTCTGTTGTTGTTACAGCAGATTGGCTTTCATCTCGGAGAATCTGTCAGCTGAGGGATCATGTGTGATCCCAAAGGGACACAGAGAATAGATACCGAATAAATTGCTATTTTTCGGATGAGGTGCAAAACTCCCATTTTCAACAAGGCCTCTTCCTGACGATTCTCTCGCCCTGCCCCAGATGCGGCTGCAGAGGAATGGAAGCTGACAACCCTTTTGCGCTTCCTTTTACAATGATTCTGCCTCAGATACGCAAAGCACTTTGTATCCACAGGAACAAATTAAAAGACAGAGAACGGAAAGAGAGAGCTGTGAGGGCTCAGCGGGGTCGCGAGCGTGAGCTCCCTTCTTTGCCTCCCCGACGCGACCCCGGCTTCGGCTCACCCTCTCAGCGGCCAGAGTCCGTCATTCTGGCTCCTTCCACCCACACCGTGGGTCAGTGCAGAGTCATCGTAGGAGTCAGAGGAAAAGACAGTCCAGCAAACGTTTTTTATGCTAGATTTTGCCCAAAATGCGGGACATGAACTTGTTTTGTTAATATAGTTTCCAACATATTGTGGGAAACCTAGATTTAAAAACAAGAATAAAATAGTATAGCAGTGACTACCGTGATTCTTTCCTTAAGTTATTAAGACCATTCTTTACTCCAAGAATCATAGCTGATAAAGTCAGCTAATTTCACTTATTTATTTATTTTAAATATGTTTTTATTGATTTAGAGAGAGAAGATGGGAAAGGGGGAGAGAGAGAGAGAGAATCATTGATCAGCTGTCTCCAGCCTGCCCCCTCTGGGCGTCCAGCCCCAAACCCGGGCATGTGCCCTGACCAGGAGTGAAAGTAGGACCTTTTGGTCCACAGCACGATGCTCAGCCAGCTTAGCCGCACCGGCCAGGCCAGGGCAGCTGATTTTAGATCATGTGTCCTTTTTATCATTAAAGCTTGGTAAGTTATATGCATTCACCTCAGAGCCCTTGTAGCTCGTCTGAAATGTCAATACAGGGAGAAGCAGATGTTGAGGGTAGTGTTAAACTAAAACCTCAGTTGCAAGTGAATCAAAGTTACAATTAAAAGTCAAGATTAACAATTCACCTCAGAATTCACACAGAAAGGCATGACAGGGTTACCTTGGAAGAGGGAACCTTTCCCCCCACCGTGGAACTGTGCGTTTTATAGAACCAGGTGACAACTTTAGAGAATGCTTTTACTTAAGAGTTTGCCTTAAAAGGCAGATAAAATGAATGGGATCAAGAGAAATGTGTGACTTTTACTTTTAAAAATGAAATGGCTCAACCCCTTAATCCCTCACGAATTTAGTGGCCTCAGACGATCCTCACAGTTTTCTCCCATGCGTTACGCTGTGTGGGTAGCTGTCCCTGTGCCTACTTCTGCAGGCTTACTTGAACATGAAGCCTGTGACCTCTGTCTTGATCTCTTTGCCAAAACCTGTCTTTTTACATGGAAGATTATAAGGAGTCATAGTGTAGTAGTTTCAGGTCACGAGGATGCCCCTTGACCTCGGCCAGCTACGTCTTCCATGCCTCAAATCTCACCACTGATTCAACACTGCGCCGCCGGGGAGCAGGCATAACTGGCTTCCAGGCTGGTTCGCCGCTGAGATCCCTGCCTCTGTGGCGGAAATGTTGCCTGTTAAGCTGGGGCTCTTGTGTGGGGGACTAAAGAGCAGTGAGGGGGTGAAAGGCGGCTCCTGGAGCTTACTTTCTTCATTCTCCGGGCAGGCCTCAAGAAACAAAGACCGTGTAAAGTTCACTGCGACCTCTGTTGCCTTTGCTTGAAGTCGTTTAACATGAGGAATGGCCAGAATTTATCTTTGAGATTTGTTTAGTCTTCTGAAATGTGGAGGACAGCATTTAATTTGTATTTGGCAAGCATCGGCTGACCTCCTGCAATATGCCACGAGCTCTGCTCATGAACACGGGAACGGAGGTGAATGGCAGGGAGAGGACCATCGTCATCATGATGCAACAGCAGCTCCCATTTCTTGAGCTTGGCACTGGACTAAGGGCTCTGTACAGATTTTTAACATTTAGTTTTTCAGTAACACTCACAAAACTATATTAATAATTGCACTCATTTTACAGATAAGAAAAATTATGAATGACTTGTCAGGTCACAACATTCTTAAAACGGTAGAGCCAGGATTTGGTCTTAGGCAGTTCTGGCTCCAAGGGCTGATTTCATAACCACCAGAGTTTACCGCCTTTTAAAATAAAACAGGGCTTGCCATCCAAGAGTTCATTCGCTTTCGTTTCCCATGAGAGGATCTTTCCCAGCCTCTTTGATCCATTTCCTAATTCTCTTACGCAGAGAGAAATGTGGCATTTTCACAGACTCATCCTGCCTAACTCCACAGTTTGTTCAATGACTAGTGACCACTTTGCAAGTCAGCGACCTTCTTATTAGCCCAGATTTGTAAGGCTTAAGGGCATTAGGATGTTATTTTAATAACATGCTCCTAAAGACAGTTGAAAGGGCAATATTGTAGAGCTTAAATAAAACCAAGGCTTCAAGTCTGACCTTTGCAGCCTTCCTTCTGGACTGTATTTCTGCCCCCCTTCACCCTGCCCTGCCCCACCCCCACTATGGAGGGACCAAAGAGAGTTGGCAGTAAAGGTCCTGATGATAATGATATCAATGCCACATTTATCATTTGTTGAGTATTAGCCAGCCCCTGAACCAGACATTTTATGCTATGTGATCTTTAGCATAACCACTATATAGATGAGAATCCCAAGGAAAGAAGTTGATAATTTTCTGTAGGTTCCACAGCAGGTAGAGCCAGAATTGGAACCCAGGTCTGTCTGATTTCTGTGCTCATGCTCTCAATTGGGACCTCATTTAGGGATTTACACACACACACACAATTCTGCTGGGAGGCCTCACTCCTGTGCTGAAGTCTGTGCTGTGGATAACTACAATCTATCTTTTTTCTTTTTTAATTCTCACCTGAGGATATTTTTCCATTGCTTTTCAGAGAGAGTGGGGGAGAGAGAGAGAAACATCGATGTGAGAGAGACACATCCATTGGTTGCCTCTTGCATGAACCCTGGCCCGGGCCAGGATGAGCCTGCCGTTGGCTCAAATCAAACCTGGGACCCTTCAGTCCCCAGGTCAGTGCTCTAACCACTGAGCAAAACTGGCTAGGGTCAATCTATCTATCTTATTAGACTCACCCTTTTCACATTTTTTTCTTATGGAAATAATCTAACACTATCAGAAAATCAAAGGGAGGGAGAAGTGAAAACAAGTGGAATGACAGTCACCAGAATTTGAAAATTTCAGCGACAGAGTCTGAATCTGACCTGGTCTGAGTATGTTCACCTTCATTGACTTCACCTCAATTTCATTATTCTGTATGGTTATAGGATTAAGCACTTAATTTTTTCATTTTTATGTTTATTAAAGTCATGGCAATATTTATTTATAATTATACTTTTTGGCTTTCTGGGTATAATTAATTATTTATATAATTTTCTTTGCATGATTTTATCACATGGAAACTCTTGATATGCCTATAAACCTAGTATGCCTTGTGTTTTAATTTCTCCTGTCTTGCTTTGTAAAACTTTCTATCTGCTATTACTATGTATATTATATTATTTTAACATAAAATGGGATCCCACCTTTTAAAAACACATTCTTCTTTCCATCCTCAGGGAAATTTCTATTGTGATGAATGATTCTATTGTGATGAATTTTTAAAGACTGACCTTCTGATGTGACTCATGAGTCAAACCCAATAAAAAAATATCCTCTAACCCAGTAATTCTGTTACATTTCATCAAGATTTCCAAACTGGGCAATTTTTATTGAGACACTGCATTATCGTAAAGAAAATGGTGAATTTCACAAGACATTTGTATCACGGTGAAGTTGGCCCAAAAGTCTTAATAGCTTTCCTTGTATATATTATTTCCTTTTCACCACGGGATAATTTTTAGAAACATCTTCCTATCTAAAGCTCTTTTCCTACTCGTTCCCCATGCCGTTCTGAGTTATGGGTGACTCCTGATTTTATTTTGTGGTAGATTCAGTAATGTCTGTCATCGTAAGTTCAGAGAGAATAGGCCTTGGCACAAGCACAGCTTGCCTTCCCTTTGGCAGTAGAACTACATTAGAGGAAAATATTAGCTAGGCCGAGGTGAGGGGTGGACATCAGACCGGGACCACCTATGTGATTACTTTCTTTCAAGCCAGGAAAACACTTTATACAGATTAAAAAGTAACTACTGCAGGGTTTCTAACCAGTTTCCCATGAACTGTATGCCTCTTTTCCCCCTTTCACCTTTCTTTTCTTCCCAAGAAATTAGAAATAACACGACAAGAAGGAAATCATCCTGAGTTAAAGAAAAATGGAGGTACCCCTGCCTGTAGAAGATATTTTAAAAATTAAAAAAGGTGTCAAAGCTACAAAACGGTGCCATTGTTAGTTTCGTTTTTTATCTTTTTGTTAATTTGTACAGAGTAATGGTAAGGAAAGGAAACATGCACATTCTAAAGGAAATAAAGGCACACGTCGGAACTCAAGTGCTTGAACGTGGTCTGGTCACCTCTCTGTGGTGACTGTGGGGAATTGCAGCAGACTCGGCTCCCCGCCACTCCCACCGT